TGGCTCCTACCCTGGCTTAATGAAAACAATGCCAATTAACTTCAGTTGACTTAAAAAGAGGCTGGGTTGGACTCACATTATGAAATACTCCAGTAAAACTTCTCAGGTCCAATTGGTGTGGTAATGCCTTCATGTGTTGCATGCTGTACTGATTGCAACATCCCACTCCCACATTCCTTGGGCCCTAAATGACACTGTGCTATGCAACCCTGCCTTGTAACTCTCCTTTGGGGTAGCCATTCAAAGCATTTTCTCTGTTGCTTGTGACTGTTTTCTTCACAAGTTTCCAGAAAAATCTGTTATTCCTGAATTCAGAGCCAAAAGGCTTAAAGCTGAAATGGTGATGCTCAATTTTTCTGAAGTTGTATTGAACATGATACTGTTTTAGCTGGCCTGCAGAATGAAAGGATGCTATCCTGTAGCTTTTACATTACTTCATTTAGAGACTGACGCTATAAATTAGTTCCTTTTCTTCATAGTCTACCCTGTATTGCTGGCCCCTCTAATGAGTCTTGAGAGACCTTCCAAAACCAGTGGAGAGCAGAGGAAGTGCTTCACTAAAGCCTGATTTAATGCCAATAGTGGCCCACATTCTCTGAGCATACTAAAAAGCCAAACTGACTGAACAAACAGAAGTCTTCAAAAGCAAAATGAAGAAGGCTTCCTGCTAACAGGCAGTCTTGTGCCACAAGCAAATATTACAAAAGGTTATTCCCTGTGTCAATCATCCCTTTGTGCTGGGAATGGTGAAGCTGGTGAGAGGCACCAAGCAGACCTCAGGAGCCATCCATGTGCAGCTTCTCCTGTTGGCCCCCTCCATGGGTCCTTCTGGGGAAGAAATCTATAGATCATGTGCCTCAGGTGCATAGCTCCAAATTCCAAACAGACAAGACACAAATCAGGGACAAACACAAACCCATGGTGCAGGCTGCAAGCGTAGAGATGGTCCAGAAACAATCCAGTTTAACCACAAGTTGTTAAAAACCTAAAGATAGTCACACAAACACAACAGCACCTTGATGGAAACCTCCTGTCCTCAAGTGCAGTTAAAGGAAGAGTGATGGAACAGAACCTGCTCTTGTAAAATAACAACCAAACCCACATGAACCAGGCCGTGTATCACATCAAAGGCTCCATGTGAAACCACTTAATCATTTAATAGGCGTTTCCATTCAAGAGCAGCTAACAGCTTGTATAAATCAACATCATTCTACCGACCTTATCAGACATTTTTAAACATGGAGCATCCTGTTCTGACAATTAGTGTCATGTAATGGTTTGAGAAAAATGAGATGCAACGGTATTAAAAACCTGATTAAGACTGAAATATAGATGAAATCTGGTGAGGGGCTAGAATACATAGAACATCTGTCTCTATCTTTAATCTTATCTTTCAGAAATAAATACATAAGATAATTTTAGCCACATGTAGAAAATAATTCACCCATCCCACAAGATGATGTTACTTTTTTAATATAAAATGTCTTCAATTTCAGACAGAAGCAGCTACTAAAAAACCCCACCAAAATACAGTGCTTCTAAAGATACAGTGTTTCAGTAATTATGCTACCAGATTTGAATTTGTACCAATTATGTCATAAAGGATGACTTCCTATTTCACTAATTATCCCCAATTTTAATTAACACAATCAAAAATCCAGAAATATAAAATAAAAGGCCTTCAGTTAGAGTTTCTACCTCATCACTTCATGTAGTCTTTAAACTATATAACATAATTCATCATGATAAATTACAATTCATTTACCACAGCCTTCTGCCAGGCTGTGGAAAACAGCTATGATTAGAACCTTTATTCCACGCTTTTCCATTAATCTGTGAAATCCATTTTATATGGTATTTAATGGTCTTTTCTAAGAACAATTTCTGACTTTTCCAAAGTTTAAAACCAAGAATTTTATGCTGGGTGGCTGATGAGAAAAAAAAAAAAAAAGACAATTTGTCAGGAAAACATCCAAAAGTGTATTAATTTAATTATTTATTTATGTTGCAGTGTAGTTATGTAATTTACATCTTGAAATTTAGATCAACACACATGATGTCTGTAAGCCCTGAAATACCTTGCTGGAGGAGATTTAAAATGACCTATTTATCTCCCAAGCTTCACTCATCTTCTCAGGAGCATCAGTGTTAACCAAACTGGAAGGCTCTCTGCTTCCTGAACAGAAAGGTAAGCAGGGAACAGAAGGGTGGTTAAAGAACCTCTTTACTATAATTACAGGAACAAAACATTGTCAGGAGAATTGCTGATCAAATCTCATGGTATCTCCAGGCTCACCTCAAGAAGTAAAAGAAAGAAACAGGCACTTCCATGGGAGGTAAGAATAAGTCACACAACAGCTGTTAGTTTAAACACTATTTAAATACAAAGCAAACAGAACTTGACATTTGGTGCTCTCTCCCTAGCTAAGAAGTATTTTATTCTTTGAGTGATTCCATTGGGATTGGCATCAATAAAAGTATTAGAAGCTGCTTCATAATGAAGGAACAAAAGATAAAAAGAATAATAATCCCTTCATATCTATTTCGGCAGACTGGAAAGAATAGAAAAATATTTGCTGGTATTTCAGGGTTTTTTAATCCAAAGTGTTACTCCCTGAGGGAGGGTCTTGCAACTGATGTGCAGGAAAAGGTGACCTTTACATTACTGTTACCATTGATAATAAAAACCATTCATACACTACCCAAAACTGAATTACACAGCCTGCCATGTGCAGGGGTAGGTATATAGGTAGGCTTCAATAAAGTTTTCTGGTAGGTTTCTGCCCAGAAAGTTTACTCTCCAGGCTAAAACATGACAAGTGGTTGCAATTAAAATTGAAGGAAAAAGGAAAAAAAAAAAAAATGTATAGCATGAACAGCTCTGCACAATAACTCAAATGAATTATCCCTATTAGTCTTGATTTTTATCATAACATGTTTTATGTGCCATACCTCCCCATGTCAGTTCCTCTCTTAAAGATCTTGCTATAGAAGGGAGCTTTTTGGAGAGACTACACAAAGCTGTGTGTGAGCTACAGCAAGAATTTCACCTTTGTCCACTTTTTCCCTCAAGAAAATACAAATTCATTGACAAAACTGCAGGATAGAAGGAATTTTCCTTACTGTTTTTGGTAATGAAGGACAAAAGACTAATACTCATCTACCCCAGCAGAATGGAATAAAGTAATTTTCCCTCCTCCTGTGGCATATAAGGGAAAAAGAGATAGGGATATGAATGTGGTCTATAAAATTAAGAGGATCAGAGAGAAGGAAAATACAAAATTACTTGTTCATGTTGAAGCTGGCAGTTTCACACCTCCAAACAAAAAAAGGGAGGTGATTCTTCTTCCAGTGGCATTGTTAAAACATGCAGCTGCTTGATACAGAATGCTGGAAGTGTGCACAAGTTCAAGGACAGCTGGGACAAGTTCATGGAAGAGAAATTCTCAAAAATTCTAAGGGATGGAAAGTCAGCACTTAGGGGCTTGCTACATCCTGCATGGGTCCCAAATAATACTGATGTAGTTAACCCCATTAAAGTGAGAAGTTTTCTAGAAGCTGACCCAGAAGTGCTGACACCTAACAATGCTGCTGAGCTACAGGCTTTCCTGGTATTAGTACACCAGCCTAGAAAACCCATTTCATGCTTGTCTGCTGGAGTAAATCCTCTGACTAATTCATTACAAAAGTAAGATGCCCTGCTCTCCCCATAACCTTCTCTTAAACACTGGAGGAGAGCTGCAGTGCCTCCCTGGCTGCTGAAAGGCAGAATGAATGTCACTAAACGATCACTTCATGTCTTCTGAGAAAAGCCTGGGGAAGTTAAGGTCCAGCTGATGCTCTACACTAGCTGGAATGTTGATTTGTAGGAATAGCCCAGTACACATTTGCATCTAGAACAGCAGACAATGTCATAATAGATAAAACCAAAAGTCCTTAAGTATCTTGTTGTTCTAAGTTAAACCTGACAAAGTTGCTGAATCATGCCAGTGATCTGAAATCTCTACCACCAGACTGCTGTTGAAGTCCATGTTGCAGCAGGGGAGTTGAGGTATAGACTATAAATCCAGATTCTAGAAAGGCTTCCTAATGTAATGGGTAATTCTGGTTTCTTGATCTCCCCAGAAAGCATATGCACCAAAATGTTTTCTGTAGGTAAAATGTATTAATCCAAATTAGGAAGGATAATATATTGAATCAACTAAGTAAATTGAAGTTTGGGTGACCTGCTTCTGTAGTAAACTCTGCTTCTGAAGTGGGAAGAAATTGTGAGGATAGAATAAAGTGAGGTTTTAGTCCAGTATTATATATAATAAAATTAAATCTGAAGCAAGTAATGTAGATTAGATATTCATTTTCTGTGGGGCCCTGAAATTCTGGTGAATCAGCCTTTCTGAGTTTGTCTGTAAATGCTTAGATGTACACAAAAACAATCATCCACTCCTTTTGAATGTGATACTACATCACAGCTCTGAGCATCTGATCACCAGATCTGTAGTATCATAGCTCTGAGCACTTGCAACTAGCACTGAATCCAGTTTGGGCTGGGATGAGCAAGGATAACTTGGAAGCAGATTTCTTTATTTTTTTAGTGTTTCTTCTAGCCACTTCTTCCAAACACCTGGTCAGGTTTTTTGTTTGCTGAATTCTACAGGTGACTGGTTAAGTGAGCCATTTGCACCCTGACAATGTTCTTTAATGATGTGAGCAGAAGATAACTCAAAGATAAATTTGAAAATTTTGCTGAGGACTGTGAATTATTTAAGGCAAGAATCAGCTCAGGGAAGGATGGGTTTACTATCAAAACTCAGGAGTAGGACCCAAAAGACTGGGGCTCTGCTACAGCCTTTTGGTTTGATGCCAAGTCACTTGAGTCCCAACTCAGCATTGCACTAAGACAATGGCAAGAGCCTTGTTCCTGATCCCGAGGGGCTGCGGTTGCTCAGTGTTTACATTACACTTCCCTGTTCTTTTTAGCTTTACAAATAAATTACCTGTGGATGACAATAACACTCCATCTGGAACTTTGCATTAAAGAGGTGGAGTCACGCAGCAACTGGCCTGACCTGGTTTGTGTTATCACAGAGGAAGTACACCTGACACATGGAGAGATCAAGGAGATCTCTCTTGGTACAACCCAGTGGAGTCACAGATGCAGCTGGGAAGCCCAGAGTTGTGTAGCAGCAGTGGGTGAGTGTCCCACCACTACGTGTCCTCACGTGGAGCATCGGGAGCATCGTTGTCCTGCTTCCTTCCAGGCTCCTCAGGGGCTTCTTCAAGACTTGCTGCAATCAGCAGAGAGGTGGACCAAAGAACTTCCTCTGAGCCAAGGTAAAACGGGACACGTTGGAGGCAAGAACATCTAAGAAGTTAAATTAGGTGGATCGTGATAAGGTATGAGGTATTTGGTGAGTGGCTAGAGGAGATGGAAGCAGGACATCCTTGAACCTGCAGTGGGTTTCACAGAGATTAACTCTTTGCTCCTAACAACGTATTAGTGACTTAAGGGGACTGGGGTGGGGAGGGGATGCAGGACTCTGCCTGTCCTCTGCAGGACTCATGGGAGCATCAGGGCTGATAACAGAGTTTTCTAAAAATCATCTTCTTTCATTTGAAGAGATGTTACTAAGAGTAGT